AAAGAGTGTAAAATTAGAGAAATTATTGCACTACATATATAACGATATTTACATTTTTAAATATTTTTGTGAATTAATGAATTTATAATTTGAATATGAAAACAATAGATTATTTATATTTTCTCATACGTTAACATCAATTTATTTGAAAATATAAATTTTGCTTTTATTTGTTTGAAAGATCATTGAGATTTCGGAGCAAAAAAAATCCTATAAGCCGTGATAAGTTTATATTAAATATATTTACGTGATAATTCATGTAATTGCTTTTATTTGCTTGGATATTTATCTAACTCTCTGTTTTCATATAATTAAAAATGTCATTTTTCAAACCAAATAACAAATATTATATGATTATATGAATTCATACGCTTCGGTATCGGTACGAATGCTGCCCTTGCGCATATTTGAATGAATTTGTTATGAATTAATATTAAGGTCCTGAATTTGGATTGATACGAGATAGTAACTTACCGCCAAAATTCGGCCTCAGTCGAATGTCGTAACCATCGAGAATCCTCGAGATAGTTTGCGTAACATTTGCAAGCCTGTCAGATATCTCTGTCGAGCCGCTTTGCAAAAAGCTGTGAACCGAGCAGAAACATAATATAAGACTTTGGAAATGCTATTTGAGTTAATTATTACAATTTCCATAATTTTTTAAACAATGTACAGTTTTCGACTATTGATATGTATTATTATATATGCAGACTTGACAAAACTTTATAAATTTAATCTCCCTATTTATATTTAAGAGTTTTGCGTTTAATGGCAGATTGGAGGAAATTTCAAAAAATACCTTAACCGCTAGATTAGACATTATTACTGCGGTATGCTGATTACAAATATCAACATAATCTTCACACTTAATGTTTAATATTGAAAATTAACGTTAATTGGTAATATAAAACTGTATAAAATTGGTGTGAAATTTAAGAGTAATATATTTCATTATATTCAACAAAGTTTTCGTCGGAGGGTTTTCGAAAATAGCACAAAAAAAAAAAAAAAAAAAAAAAAAAAAGAAAAAAAAGGAAAAACAAACGATAAAAAGCCTCTGTATAATCATGAAAAAGCAAAGTCTCGTAAAGGTTAAATTTCAAGGCTTAGTGACAGTTTAAAAAAATTCAACAATATTATTACGCTTATGAATTCAGAATTATATCATCTCCAAAATTGTATTAACATACTCGGAACTTTATTAAAGTTAAAGAAACTATGGCTTTATCATAAAATTTCCATTGGATGTGGTTGATTTTTCTAATATTTTGACAGCTTAATATCAGGTATATTGCCCTCTATTAGATTTTTTCGATAATTACCATTTTCATCATTGTGCAGCTCTGATACAATTCTAACAAATAAATAGATAAAGTTTCTGTAGTATATACCATTCATTGTGACGAGGAACAAGGAAATGCATATATTAAAAAATGCTTTAACGGTTATGTATAAATTAAGCGAGAGTGCCATGGTGAAAGTAGGGTAACGTGAGTTTAACGCGATAATATGAAAATGTATTTTAAATAATTAGCCTTAAGCCGCAGTGATTATGAGCTTTAATTTAAAATAAAGTCATCCGCTTAGTTATAAATTTACTTATAAAAATAGATGAAAATCATATAAAACGAGCTTGCGAAGCCAAAACGAAAACAAAAAAAAAACAGTCTCGACGCTGTATTAATAAAATTTGCTTCCAACTAACTTTATAAACTATTATCTAAATTCATAAACATGTACCATTACAATAAACAATAATAATAAGTAATGATAGTAGTAATCGTTAATAACAAATAATAACAACAACAACAGCGAGAAATAATAAATAATAATGAATAATAATAATAATAATAATAATAATAATAATAGCGAGGCGTAAAGAGGAGGTCGTCTTAAGTAAAGCGATTGATTCGCCACGACGACATGCCGAAGTCAATGTGGGTCAGCCTCTCGTTAAATCTCTTAGGCTTGCCGATAAAGTGAATTGCTCGCGATGTCGTGAACCACGTCGAGCGTTTCCAGGAGCGAATTGTGCGTCCGCGAAGCGATGGCCCCGCAGCGTGTTGCTCGCAAGCATTGGCCCGAGGGCGACGCATAGGGAACGATAAGGGGAAGCCAGGGGATTGGCAAGGGAGAGGGCAAGTAAGGCCGCCTACCAAGCCGCCCGAAGTGAGAGATCCGCCGCCAGGAGCAGAAGAGCGACGGCCAGGAAACTCGGCAGCCTCGTCATAGCGCCGCCGACCTGGTGAGCAGCGGTGCCACGGAGCGACGTAGCGTCACCAAATGTGGATCAAGGTCGCCGGGGCCGCCAGCCCAGAGCACGCGCAGCAAGAGCCACGACACTCAGCATCTCTCCTCACTGTGGCATACACACATGGATTCGTCTATGCGGGCTGCTTTTGGCTGCCTCGCGCGTGGGTGGACGAGTGTGCGCGCGCGCGCGCCTCTACCGCTGATTTCACCCTAAACGCTCGATTGCCAGCTCTCGGCGATCGATCCTTGGCACCCCTCCACCCACCAACGAGCCCACGAGCCTCGCTTCTATTTCCCGATCTCGCGCCTGGACGACGAACTTGCCGTGCGTGGTGGTGGTGGTGATGGGGGGAGGGGGGGGGCTCCACCGAAAACGCGCCACGAAACCCCGGGCGTCCCAGTCTGGATTTGCCTACGCACTCACTTTGCCGATCGCTCGTTATTACGGTTATGACGATTCGCTCGTTCGGGCTATCCTGGCGCATCTAGATAAGCGATAAGCGATAGAAAATTGGTCGACGAGCCAACGTTAAGACGTTGAAAATCCATTTATTTTCCACGCGATGCTCAGGGCTTGGCCCACTGACCCATCACTATTCGCAAACTTTCGCCAGTCGAGCCCCTCCTAAAGGATACGACGGGTTCGCTGGACTGGGGCTTGCGAGGTCCTCGCGCTCCGAGTGCGCACGTCCGCACGTTCTAATCGAAAATCCCTTGGCGCGAAGTATTGGCGGGAAGGGACGATTGCGCGCTATAGGTGTCTAAGGATCCTGGGCAGAATGGAATACGCGACGAGTCCTCCGAGGCCGGAGATAGGAGGTGACATTCCACGAGCGCGCTGATTGCCAATCGCCGTCAATTGGCGCAGCGGAGTCGAGGAGCGAGGCCGGAGGGTTAAGGCTGCGCGTACCTAAGTGCACAGGAACGGCGTCCGGTGTGAGCTCCGAGCAAGTCTCGCAGACGGCTCGACTCCTCGACGAACGCAGAGCCTCGTCCCTGGCGTTGATGAGGGGCTGCGCGGGCCCGCAGCCACCGAGTCCGCACATCTCGCGCGTGGAGCCACGACCGCGAGAACCGACCGACCTCGAGCGGCGGGATGCTGGCACTGGCGCGCACTCTCCCACGGGTCGACTTCTCCCCCCGCTCGCCCGCTCGCCCACGATCCCCCTTGCTTCGTCGCTTGGGCTCCCCTCCGGCCGTCCCGCCACTGACGGAGGATGACGACCCGGTTAAAACGAGCCCGCGATGTCGAGGAGTCGACGTGACACCATCGCCGACGGTCCCCTCGGTGTGGCCATTCCCCGTACAGTCCCGCTCTGGCTGAACCTGACGCGCCTAAATCAACGACGGCACGGAAACCTCGTCGTCCCCGTCGAACGCTCACCGGAGGACAGCATCCTCGATTCGACGAGCTCTTCTTCCTCAGCTGCCCGCCCGCGTCTCCCTCGCACCCACCCTGGCCAACAGCCCTCCCCGAGAGGGGAAGGGAAGGACCCGCGCCTGCGCGAGAGGCTACACTCCTCTACACCCCCCTCTCCAAGGGGGGGGGGCGACATCTCAATGCGCCACGGCGCCTCTCGCGCTCGGGGCTGCTCCTTTCCTTCTCCGCGCTACCACCACAGTCCGGGCTTCGATCGAAGCCCGGACTCTCGAATACATTGTCTCGGGCGACGGGGAACGTGCTCGAGTACTTTTCCCTCGGCATCGTCGCCTGCGCATCCCCCCTCGGCCCACCCTCACCCCAACGGCCCGTGGCTCCCACGCGATCCCTTCCGGCGCCGGAAGCCGTGACATCGTCAGGGTTCCCGCTTACTCGACCGGACGGCTAACCGAATTGCCGTCCAGCGACTTGCCATGGTGGCACATGACTTTTACGTGACCTTCTTAACTGGAAGAGTACTGCCCGAACCCCCGACGGCTTTGACCTTCATTCGACCTTTCCTTCGCTTCGTCAATAATTCATAATGTGACGCGGTACCGAGTGTACTTCCATCGCAAAATCACTCGTTTCAGTAATTAATAGAGCAAGGCGGCGCTCCTGGGGCAAGTTATTACAAAGTCGTTCGACTTAATCAAGTCGGTAAGAGGAATGAGGAGATAGAACGCGCCATTCACTGGGATAAGAGTAGCCTTATGACATATGACTGTCGGCATTTTTTTTGAAAAAGTAGGCAAACGATCGACTAACACTTGTTGTTTAGGCTTCATGACTTAGACTCCCCCCCCCCCCCCCCCCCCATACCTATTCGTAAAAGCAGTGAGCCGACTAATGTTATTCTTGCAGTATATCGCATTTCGTGAATAAATGCGTAATTTTGCGATTTTAATTAATTATAACGAATTTTTATCGCGCCCATTCAACTTCTTTTTCGTAGATACACAAACGAGAAGGAAGAAAATAAACTAATCAATTAACGACTGGAACTGAATATTTCACTACATAGATGCCTAAAAGTTTTATTAAAATTGCATGTGATGAAAAAACAAAAAATAAAAAAAATCTTAGTGAACTAATTATATTAGCGACAGCCTAGATGTTATACTCAATGCGAACAATGAGGAACCAATGTTGTACCGAACGCCTTGTACTTTGAGAAAAAAGGCAAATATTTTAGGTTTTCTTGTTTATGATAAGTAAATTTATCTTGTCGCACGCAAATAATAGTGTTGTAATGGAAATCAGAGAAACTATTTTTATTGATTAATTAATTTTCAATTTGATTCCAGCTACTATGTTCAAAACTTTTACATTTTTCAGTTAACTTGAAAATAAAACAATGGGATTCACAAGAATGAAATGTTTAAATAACGATTGCGACAAATTAAAACAAAAAATCTATTATTTAATAAAATGAACAAACACTTTTAATTGAATAGTGATAAAGATAATAGCCGTTAATAACAACAATTATTTATTAAGGGATAATGTATATTTTAATGAAAATTTAATGTATCTTGATCTTTGATATTTTATATAAAAGTATAAATAACCAATTTAGAAATATTTTCATTTTTAAATGTAAATGTTCCATAGAAAAGAATCACATACCTTAACAGTATAGCAAAAAATACACAGCTAATGTTAATAATTATTAAAAATCCTTAACGATTATTTATGAAATGATTGGCATTACAAATACATCTATTGTATGGAAGAATTTTAAATAGAGAAATATTTAAATATTTTATATTGTGTGCCGTTTTTTAGAATTAGTTATTGCATGAAATTTAATTAAATTTGTTTTATTAAACTATTATAATATATTAATGTTTTTCTTTCACTTGATTATAAATTAAAAAATTTTATACTATCCTCGTCATTAATTATCGCATAACAAAAATAATAATTTCTTTAAGCAATTCAATCTTCGTAGATAATGATGAAACTTACACTGCTTCTTTTTTTCTTTTTCTTTTTCTTTTTTTCTTTTTGTTATTATTTTATCTTTCGACAATATAGAACAGCAAACTTTTAATTACCATCAATTTTAATAGACATTATTTTTCACGTGGAATTTTATAAGATAGTCTAGAGTTTCTTTTAAAATTTATTACAATTGATTAATC